AGTGATTGAAACACCTCCATTTTCAAAAAAAAAAATGTTAATTTTTTTTTTTCTTAATGTGCAGCCTGACCGAGACTCAAACCTGGGACCGTCGGAATACCGTACTGCGGTTTTACTGACTGGGCTATCCGGCCGCCTACAAACTACCTCCCTTGATTAGAGAACAGTTCAATACCGTGACATAATCATTTTCGGAATAATTTGGGATTCGAACCTAACACAACATTGGGTCTCCTTTTTCAACATCATTTTTACCCCATCTTACTACTATGTTTACCTTTTAGCCCTAACTGTTCTGGAATTTCATTCATTACACCCACTATCAGTAGATAATTTGGTAATATGTTACTTGTCATTGTGGGAGGTCTGTAGAAATCTGTACGACAAGATTTTCAAAATAGAACATGTCCTATCCCTTACATCTAGACTTAAGGTTTCTGAATTCAAGAAATAGTAGCCTTCACACATTAATATTTGTCAGTACATTTTAGTTTTAATTGGTGTTGTACTTCAAAATCCTACCGTCTGCTGAGGCCTTTACTGATTAGTAGCCTGGGAAAACTAAAACGCATAAAATTTATATTCTGATAAAACTGAAATGAAGTAGATCACAAATATGACTGAGGTACTTTTTATGAGGTTATGTTGATTTCATGAATGAATATCGAGTTAACGCCGTTTATCTGACGTCATTCTCATGGTCTTCTACAGGGAATTCTTAGAGTTCAATTAAATATATGCATCATGTTCGTCTTATGAAGACCGGAAAAAGTGAACAAACATTTGTCTTATATCGATTCATTAATTTTTCTTTATTTTTGAAAACTTTGTGCCAATTATTCTACTTTTTTAAAATGCACCAGAATGCGTCTTTTCATGTTATAGTTTTCAATTTTCCCCCAGAGGATGTTCCCCTGCCCGCCACCTGCATCACCCTCCCACACTTGTCCCAATCAACACGTTTTTTGTAAACATTTTAAAGGCCTGGCATCGCTCAGTATTATTTATTGATTTGCGCTACCACGACATGTTGAATTTATTAGGATTTTCAAACCGTCAATTATGCCCCCCTTCAAAGAAGTGGGTCAATTACTTAGCATTAGTCTGTCATTATGTCGGTCAGTCGGTCCATAAATCAAATGGTTTCCGATCAGTAACTTAACGCTTAGGCATAGGAACTTCAAACGTGGTATGGGGATTATCCATGACCAGAAGATGACTCCCCCTTCTTTTTTTTTCTTTTTTTTTGGGGGGGGGGGGGGTCTTTAGGTCAAAGATCAAGATCAAATTGACCTTGAATGTCAAAATGGTTTCCAATTAATAACTCAACAAATCATAGGAGTTTGACCTTCAAACTTCACAGGTGCATTGATCTTGGCTTGTAGATGATCCCTAATGATATTGGGGTCAAGGGATCAAAGGTCAATGTCATATTAACATAGGTAAAAAACTGTTTCAGATCAATAACTTGAAAACCCATTGGCCCTTTGCCCTCAAACTGCATTAGGTACATTGGTCAGTAGATGACCCCTATTGCTTTTGAAGTCAAGAGGTCAAATGCTAAGGTCACATTGACCTTGTAGGTAATAGGTAAAACCGGTTTCCTATCAATAACTTGACAGCCCATGAGCTGTTGGCCCTTAAACTGCGTAGGTGCATTTGTCTTGGCAAGTAGATGACCATATTAATTCTCGGGCCAAAGGTCAAGGTCATATTGACCTTGAAGGTAAAAACGGTTTCCGATTTATTACTTGACAACCCATGGGCCTTTGGCCGTCAAACAGTATAGGTACATTGTTTTTGGCCAGCAGATGACCCCTATTGATTTTGAGGTCAGGGGGTCAAAGGTTAAGGGCACATGACCTTGTATATCAAAACATATTCCTATCAATAACTCGACAACCCATGGACCCTTGACCTTCAGACTTCATAAGTGCTCTTTGTCAGATGATGACCTCAATGGGTTTTTGGGGTAAAGAGGTTAGATGTCAAGATTACATTGACCTAATAGGTAAAACGTTCCTGATCAATATCTCATCAACTCATGGGCCCTTTACCTTCAAACTTCATAGATGCATTGGTATTGGCCAGTAGATAACCCCTATTTGTTTAAGGTTCAAAGGTCAAAGTCACATAGGCCTATAGACCTTGTACGTAAAGCCGGTTTCCGACCAATGATTCATCAACTTAAGTTGCTTTGGTTGATATTTTTTTATCAAACTTAAAATGCTTTTGGTATGCACATTTTAATTAAGGTCTAATGTAACATAACAAATTGGCAGTCATTTAGGAGGAATACATAAAATCATAAAATTAATGCATATATAATTATTATTTGGTAAGATGTGTGATAACTTTATCATAAAATTGCTGCCCACAACCTTTACGGTCACAATGACCTAGTGACTAGTCATGACCAGTAGATAACAGCTATTGATTTTTTGGTCACTATATCAAAAGTCAGTCACAATAACCTTATCACATGACTAATTAGCTGCCGATAGGGGACATATCTAGGGGACATACATGTTTTACAAACATATCTTGTTAATCATATATTGTAGATAGTCACATGATAATATCCCGACAATATCCCAAGAGCATTAGTGCCAGGTATATGTTTTTTATTAACTCGAAATTTCGAGTTACTTACTCGAAATTTCGAGTTACAAACTCGAAATTTCGAGTTACAAACTCGAAATTTCGACTTACTTATCTCGAAATTTCGAGTTACTAACTCGAAATTTCGAGTTACTAACTCGAAATTTCGACTTACTTATCTCGTAATTTCGAGTTACTAACTCGAAATTTCGAGTTACTTACTCGAAATTTCGAGTTACTTATCTCGAAATTTCGAGTAACTTACTCGAAATTTCAACTTACTAACCCGAAATTTCGACTTAGTTACTCGAAATTTCGACTTACTAACTCGAAATTTCGAGTTACTTAACTCGAAATTTCGACTTAGTAACTCGAAATTTCGACTTATTAACTCGAAATTTCGACTTATTAACTCGAAATTTCGAGTTAGTTTAGTAACTCGAAATTTCGACTTACATTGCACGACTTTCATTGGTTGCCGGTGAAAGCAAGGATTGAATTCAAGATACTTTCTTTCGTGTGTAGCTGTTGCATATTGGCAGAGCACCTTTAACATTTATTTAACAGAACAATTTAATAGGGTCAAATTGTCCACACATACTGAACATATCCTTCGGGGGGTGTAAAATCACACTTTCCACATTTCCGTGTTAACCGGATGTTTCTTTTTCTTAAGCACACATACAACCATCATGTGAAAAATCAACAAGTCCAAAACCCACCCTATTGTAAACTGTGCAATATCATGTGTTAAATAAGTTTTAAATGGCGTGTATACGCCAGTTAGTCTGTCACGTTTCTTTATACTAATAATGTTTTTGTACTTTGATTCATATTATTAGTTATAAAGATTGTTGACAAGTTATATGGCCCTATATAAACGGCTATTTGTAAATATAACCCGAGCCGCTATGCGAGGGTTATATTGCAAACCGCCGTTTATATACGGCCATATAAGCTGTCAACAATCTTTATAACGAATTTATAATACATATATATATATATAAAACTATATAAACGTCACGATTATCCAATGAAAAGTGACGTTACAAACGTGCAGTAATATAATGTGTTGATAAAAGTTGATAAAAGTGGAACTTGTTGTTATATACATTTGTATATGTTCGGAATAATATAAAAGCATCCGATTTTACAAGAAATATAGTCAGTCCAACAATTTTGACAAAGGCCTCAGCACGCCTTATTTTGGCCACGCCGCGATACTTTCCTCAGATGTCCCACACGTGAAGTATGGAATCGTTTTATTCACAGGGATGAGAAGAACAATTATGATTACTGAAAAGATATGTTCGAACAGATGGGATACAATACAACGTCTGAAGAACGCCTGAACGTACAAATTAAAGGAAGCCTTGTGTTTTTAGGTCGGGTGTGTACATGCCGTTACTAAGTTTAAGTTAAATTTCAATAGTTTTTGTCCAGGCACCCGTTTCTCCATCTCCATCGTTCAACGGCACTCCCTACTATATCTTATATCATTTAACTAATAACTTTGGCCATTCCTGTAATGTTAATAAGTCGAAATTTCGAGTTAGTAAGTCGAAATTTCGAGATAAGTAACTCGAAATTTCGAGTTAGTATGTCGAAATTTCGAGATAATAATTAGAAATTTCGGGTTAGAAAGTCGAAATTTCGAGTTAGTTAGTCGAAATTTCGAGTTAGTAACTCGAAATTTCGAGATAAGTTAGTCGAAATTTCGAGTTAGTAACTCGAAATTTCGAGTTAGTAACTCGAAATTTCGAGATATTTAAGTCGAAATTTCGAGTTAGTAACTCGAAATTTCGAGTTAATAAAAAACATACACCTGGCACTAATGTTCTTCCGTATTAACCTGCACTTTGGCGCAAAAACAAAACCATACAGCATCTTGGGTCAATCGCAACTTTTCGGCCCTACAAACTTCAATTCCGTACGCAATTTTTTGGCTATTTCCGTCAGTCTTTCGGGTGATTATGCATTGTGTACATCGGTATTTGAGAGACCGGTGTGTATACAATCAATGGATGATTATGAATAATCGTCTAGGTATTTAAAGTCTTTATCCTTGACGGCCGAAAACGAATACAATTTTACTTCCTGTTTCATGAAACGATTTAATCTTCTATTTTCAAAAAATCTGAAAATTTTACAGATCTATATCATTTTGCATTGGGTAGATTTTAAGAATATGTATGCATGTCAATTGAAATTTAATGGAACAAATGTGCATGTAAACATAAGTTACGATACTCTCCAATAAATTATGACATAATACAAACTGTAGGAAATTGGACTTATTAAATATATAATCTACATGCAAATAAATCAAAAATTAAATCACGAACAAGACAAGGTCAGACAAAAATGTTAGTAGAGCATATAATAGAGTATATTATTTTTGATATTTCATATTAACGCTTTGTATTGAATGCAGACAATATTACCATATTATTTTCGTTAGGAAACGTTTAACGGTACGTTGGCAGGCAATTTAAAGGGGTTAGTAACGTAATATGGATATTTTTCCAAAAACGTGACGCATAATTATTATATATGTGTTATATTTTCTGAAAAAAAGTCTTGATAACGTAACAGACACGTTTGTTATTTTGGCTTGTACTTAAATAGGTGTCTTGAGGAGCACAGTCATCATGATTGAAATAATTCTGTAGAATTTATTAGTGTGTTTTGATATAAGTGGAACATCATAAAGTTGGTAAGATTAATTCATTCTAATAACATATAACCTATTAAGTTTGCCGAAATCCGTATATTTTTATTTATTAGAAATATCAAACATGTGTTAAAATAATGGATCGAGTGCATGTAAGGTGTTTTACACCTGAAAAGTAGCGTTGAACATGCAGTTATGTGTCCTAAAGGTACCAAAATGTAAAAAGTAGTATTTTGACTTCCATAAAAAATATTCATTGGCTAATTACTTACATAACTAAAGATACAAAAGATAGTTCATGTACATAACAAAGGAGTATGTTTTGGAAACCATATCATGATACCAAAAATAAAAAAGTTTTTTTAGAGATAAAAATGATATTACTTCTGAGGCATAATGAGCCCTTTAAGTTATTCTACTTGGCAAATTTGTGATTATACAGCTTTTAAGCTATCAGAATGCTTATACAGTGGCGCAGTAACCATTATACAAATATTTCAGGCAAGCCAATGTTGAAAATTATTTCTTTCCTTGACTATTGTTATACATCTTTTTGAATAAAGGCTGTTCAAAAGGCGGTGTATTATTTTCCCTATTATTGTTGTTTAAATATTTTGATGGTCATGTGTGCCGATCTTTATCCCATCTAACGATTCAATTCAGATTAATTTCAATTTTTTATTAGGATAAAGTAATTTATGTTACTAAAATAAATCTTGCATTTATTTATTCCTTTATTTATTCCTTTATTTTTTTCATTTCTTATACATTAGAATTCTTGACTACTGTACCCCCTTTGACATATAAACTCAACGGTTGACAAACGTACGCATGCACTCACGCACGCAGGCTACCAGAGACTTATTATACAAAATAAAGCTCTTAGCGCATACACACTACTGTAATGTCAATAGCTGAATAAGACGTGCCTGGATAGTTAAAGAGTAGGGAGGAGGAGGGCAAGGTTGGCGGACTGTTTGGCATCATTTTTATTTACTGTTTATTTAAGCTATTATTCTTTTTTCAGTTACTTGAATACAATAGAAATGGACAGTAAGGAACGTGATATTGGTCCTCTCCGTTGCCAACCATGTTTAGCCGATGACAACCAAGTATTAGCATCATTTTACTGTATAGACTGCAAGGAATGCCAGTGTTTGCGGTGCAAAGACGTTCATCGACGTTTCTCATATATGACGGGACATCAGATAGTTAAAGTAAAACCGACTTTTACCAAAGAAGATATCAATCGATTTAATACATACTTTGTATGTAATGTCCATAACCGAAAACTCGAGTTTATTTGTACAAAAGACAACACATTGTGCTGTACTGAGTGCAAAGAAAATATCCATAAAACTTGTCAAAATGTACAAGAAATCTCTCACATAGCTAATAAAGATATAGATGACTTTGGTTATCTCCAGAGAGAAACTGACGGGCTAAGGAATAAAGTAATGACATTGTCAAAGTATCTTAGAGATACATATGACGCACTTAACAATGAATCACCTGAAATGGAGAAACTAACAAAAGCATTGACAGACATGAAAGAAAAACTTTTTAGAAAGATAGATAATTTTACAGAACAACTGATAGCCGATGGGAGACGGCAAATTGAGTTTAAATCCAAAGCAACTATAAAGAAAGCAGAACTATCTGAAAAACTAGTAACATACATAGATGAACTGTTCGAGGACATTGACTACTGGAAACAAGTTCCGCACCCCCAGAATCTCATCATAAGACATAGGCTTGCTGAGCAATTTAAAGAATGTGAAGAAAAGTTCAAAGACGTATCTGCACACCTTCGTACACCCGGTGAAGTAACTTTGTCACTTCACAACAAGGTGCATTCGTTAGTTGAGCACAAATCCGATATTGGTAGTGTGTATTATGAAGACCATGGTGGTAACCTCACAGATCTGTCAGACCACCGTGCAGTACGGATTGAACTTCTGCACAGCAGAAATCTGCGAAGGCGAACATTGGATCAAGACAACCTGACACCTGATATTACAGGTATTAGTTTCCTAGACGATGGCAAGCTTGTTGTTATCGATAAAACCAACAGGAACATAAGAATACACGAGAAACATTCGACAGATCTGATATGGAAAACTGAGCTTACGCCATGCGATGTTGCAACTGTCTGTGATGGAAAATTTGTTGTCACGTTTCCAGGTCTGGTTGTGTTCTACAAGATAATAAATAATGAATTATATGAATACAAGCATACAAGAAATGTGCTAAACAATAGTACAATCTCTGTAAAAGATAAAAATTCGTATGTGATCGGTACTTCAGGCGCAAATGTTCCTGCATTGTTGATTACAGATTCCGGCCAGGAGAAAGATTTAAACTTACGATTGAATGACTGTTCAAGTTACTCATCAAAATCTCTCTTTTTCAGGACCAGGGTCGCTGAATTATTAGCAATTTCTTTCAAAGATTTTAATTGTATTTTGCTTATAGACATGGAAACGAAAGAACACAAGAACGTGGCAAATGATGAACTTATCAAACCAGGCTACATGTGTATCGGACCATTAGACACCTTATTCGTATGTTGTGACTTGGGGAAAGTAGTGCATCTTACTGCAGAAGGATCGGTTCTTAGTGCGTTAAGTACGGACATTATTGAGCCAAAATGTATTTCAATGTCCAAGGATCAAACGGAATTAGCTGTTGCAGGAAGTGGACAGTTACTCGTATACAAAATAGTTAAAACAGATGCCTATCATGACTATATCTGTTTAAACAAAAAGAAAGAAAAGCGCTTTCAAAGCGTTTTTTATTGAAAATACCAAGAAAAGAACTGAAGTCCCTACTTGGTTGAAAGTTGACATTGATTCTATTTAGTGCAACAAAGCATTGTATTGATATTCCGCCACATCCTCATCACTAACAAAACATTATATTTTAGAAATATAACTCATGTAAGATAAATTGTGAATTTGTTCTTCGTGAAATGAGTGAGCAAAATGGTTAAACCAAGTTTTTTTGTCACATTTGTTGTTTGTTTAATAACGTTTATTTTAGCAGATGTCATAGCGTGATACACAACAGATTGTTGCATTTATATGGTGGTAAAATAACTGACTTGACCGACAATTTAGCAAATAATCAGTATACAGTTGACTGCACTGCCAAATCGATTTAGCGTTCAATGGACATCATTGATATATAACGGACATAAATACTAAAATATCAGATTTATTGTTGAATGTATCTTAACGTCATTTTTTTTCTTTGCTTTTTTTTACTTTGCTTGTGATGATTGCAATTATCATTTGTTTTGTTGATGTATGATTCATATGCCTGTTTTATAAAGTGTTGAGAATGTAAGTAATTGCTGATACAGTAAGTTGGTAGTGCATAGCAAATTTATACGAATAATATCAAATACCTAGAGGTATACTATTCCATTAACCAATTCTTATTGCTGCTTGTTCTCAACTACTTTAATTGAATAAATTATTAAACAGATAAAATTACGTATCTATACCTTTTAAGATGTAAAGATGGCAACCTGTTGCAGGACTTTATAGAGCTTGTAGAGGTATGCAGACCTTCATTTCAATAACACAGGACTTTTCCTTGAATTTGATTATGTAACATTTGCAAAGATCTAATTTCTAGTTTGCGTGTACAATGTATGTTTTAAATATATCATTATACGATTTCAACTTGCGCACATCGTCTTCTGTAATATCATTCTATGAACTGTGAATAAAAGTTTTGGTTCTTTAATTACACATTTTAGCAGAACTTTCTCTAACTACCCTTATTGAAAGCTTTTCTGAAACATAGAGTGTAAACTGATCAGCAAGGGAGAAAATTACGTTCGCGAAATGCCCCCTTCAACACCTATCAAATATCTACTTGCTTTTTACCATAGGGTAAATTCGTTTACTTATGAAGACTTGCGTTCTTTCTGAAACTATTTTGAATTTTGTAAATGATCTTATTGTAAAGAAAAGCTATGGGCAAGGAAACTGTTCAAGACTGCAAAATGGCTACGACAATTCAAAAAATACCGTGAAACAGAAAAAATCGGAATGGTATTCGTTGGACTTGAATTAGATAAGCTGTGGAATTCTAGTTCTTTTTATTGATGTTAATGAATGATGCAGCGAAATCCCGCCGGAATGCGCCTCAGTCGCCGAAACGACGATTTCCCGTGTTCCACATTGTTTGGCAAATAAACATATAGTAGGCTTTTCACCTTTCTATAACTATAATTTTGATAGTGGAATTTTTTTTTTATATAATTTCATCGGTGGTTTTGTATTTGGTACCTTATAGTAAGCCTTAGAGTGTTGAATTATTTTTTTCAGGGTTGTAGTAGGGGTCCAGGGGCAGATAGGGATGGGGTGTCCAAACACTGATACTGCCACCTGTGAGCTATATTACTTCAGGAATCAACTCTCTGTAAAAGGAGTGCCAGCAACAGAAAGCACCTATTATGTTAAGGAGTCGGCCTAGTGAATTTGTGTATGGTTTGTTCTATAGCAAATCAGTCATATTTGAGGCATAATTAATAATTCCACTGTTCCTGATGAATCTACGCCAAAGAATTAAGGGGAGATCACACCTTAAAGTAATCTTCCCGTTCCAAATTCCGTGTTGTAATTACGGGGTTTAGATGTTTCATTCTAGACTGGTACACAATTTGTAAATACAGAAATTAGTTTTGATTATAAATTTATATTCTGGATAAACCATTCTAGGACACGTTTACTTCCTGTTTTAAAAAGCGAAACATGAATACTGTTTTGGCGAGATTAAACACAATTTTTGCCTTCACGCTAAGCGTGATGGCAGGATTGACCTTTCTGTGCTTTTTATCAACATATTTCAATGATCACCAGGCAGTTGTTGCCATTAACACAGGAAAGGTCATCGTGTAAGTATAAAATTACCTCAAACATATGTCACCGGCTTCAAAGGGGTACGGCTCATTGAATGTTCACAAAATATGTATTTGATGGTAGAAAACATTCATCCTAAGTCAGAAATGAATTCTAAGTCCATTCCCATTACACTATATATACTCAACATCACTAATTCCGCGTCATCACTTACCTCGCGGTAATGGCATATTTTCATGTGGCCAGTGATAAAATTGGTCATAATTGACATATTTTATTCAAACACCTTAACAACAAAGTTTTTGTGCAAAATAATTTAAATCTATAGATTTTTTCATAAAACTGAGCAACATTTTACAAACTTTTGCAAAAAAACACAACAATAGTCCATTAAATTTGTGCATACGTCTGAAACAATCATCATTTTCTAAATGTTCTTGTTTGTTAAAAAAATAAATTTTGAGTTACAATGTAAAGATTATTTTAATATTTAAATTATGCAAAATAACATAAAGAAATTTTAACTGAAACATGAAAAAACTGAAATAAAACACCATTACCGCGAGTTAAATGATGACATACTATTTTCAAAATGGCCGACACACGGTCTACATCTGACAAATTAAAACTAATTTAGATTGAATATATTGTTGCTTCCTCGTGTCATATTGCAGAAAAATGACTAAATGATACAGTTTATGACAGTTTTTGTAGTGAAAGTTTACTGTTTGTGTTCTTTACTGTTTTAAAGTGTTAAGTACCGTGAACTAAGAGGAGCACAGTATACTAATATATAGACAAGGGTAACAACTCCCATAAGAAGGTGTCTATGCCCAATCAGGGTTTTTGCCTTGCAGTTTTTACACGATACAACATAAATAAAAAGGAATTATGCTATTTGTAGTAGAATGATTTATCTATCGAACCAATGTAAAACTTTTCTTATATCTCTTATATTTAACGAGTACTGGCCGTCAAAGTAACAAAAAAACGTTCATTTTCGATTTAACTTCCGAAAATATACCCGTAAATTTCCGAAAAATTCCGACCAATCAGATGACGGTTGTTTACATTCGTCAAGATGGCGGTGTTTTATAGAAATTTCAACGGGGAAATATTTTGAAGCCGCAGGTGAGTTTATATCACATTGTCATTATAGGTTATTGGTATATTTTGATTACTTTTATGTATTTTTAATTGCCCAGCATGATAAATGCTTGTGATATTATCTCCAACGATTGCAACAGTCGTGAAACTTTGTGTTTCCTGCTTAGCCACGATCGATGTCGACCTCGCGAAAATGAACATTTTTTTGTTACTTTGACGGCCAGTACTCGTTAAATATAAGAGATATAAGAAAAGTTTTACATTGGTTCGATAGATAAATCATTCTACTACAAATAGCATAATTCCTTTTTATTTATGCTGTATCGTGTAAAAAACTGCGAGGCAAAAACCCTGATTGGGCATAGACACCTTCTTATGGGAGTTGTTACCCTTGTCTATATATTAGTATATAGTGTAATGGGAATGGACTTAGAATTCATTTCTGACTTAGGATGAATGTTTTCTACCATCAAATACATATTTTGTGAACATTCAATGAGCCGTACCCCTTTGACCGGCTTAAGACTAGTCACTTAGACATTAGTTTGATCAAGGAATCAAACACAAATCGAAATGTCACGATATAAAAGTGTCCTAATTGGGATTGATTACTCAGCTGCTGAAACTGAGGTATGGTATTCTGTCCTGGGTTTGGATCAGACCTAATTCATATTGGAAATTATTAACTAATATGACGATACACAATGGAAAGTCAGATAAAAAAATAAAACTTGTCCTTATTTATTTTACATTTTAAAGATTTTATTCAGTATTTCATGAACCGCTTCCTTCACTCGGATCATCTCAACATTATTCTTAAGCTGAAAAGTTGGGATTGTTCCATGGCATGGTTCGCACGGGCCTTGAAAAGTCCTTGAATTTGGTTTCAACCTTGAAAAGTCCTTGAATTCAGGGTTGCCTTGAAAAAACACTAAAATTGTCCTTGAATTTCAGTAAACCCCCTTGAATTTCGGTAAAATGCCTTGAAAATCCAAAAGGGTATAAAACCTGTCGCTGTAAAGGTCAGGCAAATTTTCCGCTACAAATCGGACATGTGAACGAAGGCAGCCCGATCGAGTGCGCCCATTTGGATCTGTTTTAGTAGTGTTTAGCCAGCGTTACGGTTTTGGCGCGGATTTTAACAAGCACTTGTGTATGACGTCATCGCAAATTGTGTACAAAATGTCAGCTTCCATTGCGAAGTAAAAAATGGGAAAATACACTAAGAAATGTACGTTTCAGCTCAAATGGCTTCAACAATACAGTTGGGTAAAACAAGTTATACAAGACCCACGAAAAGCACAATGTACCATGTGTATGAAAACCATCGATTTGTCGCAAATGGGAGAGAGTGCATTTACATCGCATGCAAGGGGTGCAAAGCACCTAAAAAATCTAGACATCAAGTCGTCATTGACGAAGTGTGGCCTTGCATTTGTCAGACAGGAAGGAACTATAAATGTCAAAACTGAAAATTGCAGTAGATCTGATTCAAATAATAACATTGTGCCATCCCAATCCACAACGGAAACTGTGCATGACATGACAATACCACCCCCACCCACTTCTAGTAATCATTGATTTGTGACTGAATCAAACATTCTAAGAAAGGGTTTCAAAGAAAAGAAACTGGAAGTTGAGGAAATTGGAAGAGAAATCCAAAAAAAGAAAGGAAAAACTAGATAGAGTTGTGTGAATTTACTCAATCACCTATATGTTACAGTTTTGGTGTTCATATATTCTACTGACTCTGCTGATTTTCTAAATATAGTCACTGTTTTGCAATTCTAGTCATTTGAACCTTAAATTGAAATACACATGTTTTATTTACATGTTTTATATCACAGATATGGTTGTAAAAGTATAATTTTAAATAAGATCAATTGCAATAAAAATGTATATCACAGATATGGTTGTAAAAGTATAATTTTAAATAAGATCAATCGGGAAAAAAATGCCTTGAAAATGACAATTTTACCTTGAAAAGTCCTTGAAAAGTCCTTGAATTTTGATTTGAGAATTTGGTATGAACCATGCATGGGTGGGAGTGGTTTCGTCTAACTACCTGTTCGTCTAACTGATCTTATATAGTAAAACAGGTAGTGGTTTCGGCTAACTTAATTTATATAGTGAACAATAACTATTGTATAATGCGCACATCAATTATCGCGGGTCTTATTAATGTGTGGTTTTTCACACATTTTCATGCAATTAAAGACAAGATATTGAAAATTTAAACATATTATTTATTCTTTTCTTTAGTATAATAATGATATTTACATAAAATAATAACACAAGATCTCAGTGAACAAACAACATCATAGAGACAAACAAAGTAATATTGTTTTTTTTTTGTAATTTATTCTTGACTCAAAAATAATTTATCAAATAACGAAAAAAACTTTTCAAAATAAGTATAATATATAAACATACTTCTACAATATATTATATTCATTAATGATATTTGCGTCATAATTTAATTATAACAAAATATTGATGATAAAAACACTATATATATATGAACCACGTCTACTTTGCCTTTAATTACATCAGTTAGACGAAACCACTTTCGCACCTCTTCATAAATTAAGTTAGCCAAACCGGTAGTTAGACGAAACCACCATAATTCTTGTTCCATTACCGGAATACCCCACCGATTATCAATAAGTTACATTAAAGAGTTTCATTTTCCACATTTAGTTAGGTTTTAACAGATGGCTGCAAAAATGTATAGCAAACAAATTGACATGTGACATCAATCTAGTTTTAATGCATATAACCAATTAAATCAGTAATGATTTGAAGGAAATTAGATGTACAATAAAAGATTACTGGTCGGAGAGATAACTCCAAGTCCGACGCATAGATAACCCCGACACTTGATAAATATAATTGTTATAACTTTGTTTTTCAACAAACAAGAACATGGTGACCTAAAAGTATAGGAGCAGGACAGAATGGGATGATTTTTTTATAATTTGGTAAACTTTTTAATGTTTTTCAAATAACCTAAACTTTTCATAGGCAGAACTGCTTCAAAACGTTCTTTTTACTAAATTACAATAAGGTAGTTAGAATTGTATTGACCACAGGCCATTGGCTTGGGAAAGATTTTTAAAAAAATGTTTAAATATTCACAAAAACTAGATAAAACATATAAAATGTAAAAAAAAATTATTGATGCAGATTTTCCAGTCATTTTTTACTTTAAAAATTAAGTGTCGACTTTATCTACTGTTGTGGGGTAAAAATACCATGTTTTGTATACCTCTTTCAGGACCTTAAAGAAGTACCAGATTCCATTTTCATACATAATTTTAGTAGTGTAATGTAAAGTCTTTGAACTGAAGTTTGTTTAAGTGGTTCAATATTTAAAATATACAGGAAGATAATTAAGATATTGCAAAAAATATGTGATTTAGTGTCGGAGTTATCTCTCCAACCAGTAATGCAAAATGAACATATTTTACACAAAATGGCATATGACTTATCCAAGTACTGATATATTATGTATATATATTTGTTTTATTTTCAGTAAAAATGTACCTGATTACAGTGCATCAAGAGAGAAGAATGATTTAGGATTTGTTGTCTTTGACCTGCAAACAGATATCCTTTTTAACCCTAAACACCCTGAAAATCTTAAATGGACTTGTCCATCTTTCAATCTAGACTATGTTATTATTGATGATTTGATCCTCTATTTCTTTTATAATAATTTATCATTACTTGCAGTTTCCTTACTAAAATAACCTTAAAAAGGGGATTGCATTAGTGAATAAAATAAACTTCTTCCAACGTGTATGTGTTTACCTCTCATACATTTTGTATTAGTTACTAGAATAAAGTAAAACATCTAATAAGGCGATGTATTTTTATATTTAAATTAAAATTTATCATCTTCCTTAATGGTTTGTTTGCAACTATAATTAAAAACTTGTAAGTCAATATAATAAGAGTGTGTTTGGTATTTTTTAAATTTCTTTTTTTCCAATTAATTTTATTTTTTATGACATGCATATGTGATTCTTTAATACTTCCTATTAATAGAATAGGAATTGTAACAAATATATGATTTCTAAGTAATTTGCTATCCTTGACTATTGATACATTTGTCAGATATATTTAACTGGAATGTGAAACAGTTGTTCCTGTATTTGACAGCTGAATATAAAACTGAAGATCATGTAAGTATCTGCTTTTCTATTGAACATAATTTTCTCTTATTATTAAAGGGTCAATTAAGGAATTTTGTTTTAGATTAATTTGATCGTTAAAGTGATATTGATTAAATTACACTGGAAAGAACTAAAAAGGAAACAATATTCTCAGGGGAAAATATTAATGATCTTCAAATGAAATATCTTATTTTTGAAGTGAGACTTTTGGGAGACATATTGTTTTTGCCTTCACTGTTAGACTGTCCTTCTGTCCGTCCGTACAAACACAGAAGTACAATGTGCTTGTGTGACTAGGAGAACATACTTCCTTGTTGTGCAATCAGCTTGTTCGACTTTCACAGATCAAACTCCTAGGGGGATTTCAAATAAACTTCCCAAGACCGATCTGTATCAACCCTAGTTGAGCATATTGCCAGCATGTTCCTTTTCACTGCACAAAGCGGCTGCAAGAGCTAAAAAAACAAAACTTGCCCAGCCTTTCACAGGTCAAACTGCAAGCAGGATTTCAATTGAAACTTCACAGAAGTGATCCAGTTACCATACCTTGTTGTGCAATTGCCAGCATATTCCGCTTTGTTGCACAAAATGGCACCTAGAGAGGTATAAATAGAAAAACCTTGTCCAGCTTTCACATGTCAAACTGCTGGCAGAATTTCAATAAAACTTCATAGGAGTGATCAGTACCATCCCAATGTCATCCCTAGTTGTGCATATGGCCAGAACGTTCCACTTTGCTGCACAAAATGGCAGCCAGAATTATAAATAGAAAAATCTTGTCCAGCTTTCAGAGGTCAAACAGCTGGTAGAATTTCAACAATTCTTCATAAGAGTGATCAGTACCATACCTAGTTGTGAGAGACATATGTTTTTGTGACATAAACCCCTTCAAGTTATATTTCATTTTCAGGAAAACATTTTATACATGTATGTAATATCAAAAACGTCTTGGCTTACATTTCTAATTTTGGTATTTAATTATTTAGTTTAAGTATGTTTAAATTTACTTGTTAATGAAAGAAGTTCTTGCAACTTATCTTTGTCAATTCTGAGACTGCCTCCCGTTAGTAGCTAGTACTGTCTGGTGTCATATGATTATGAGAAAACATGGCTGTGATCTAAGTAGTGCTTGAACCCTCAATCGGTGGGTTGAGAGACAGAAACCTTAACTACAATTTAAAGGACCATTATTTTAACTTTTTGTCAATTTCATGATACCATAGCAAATTAGCAATGAATGAATTCAAATTCACCTTTGAACGTTAGTTAAATGTTGTGCTGAAATATTTTGGTGTTTATGTGTACATTTGATGATGATGAAATTCTTAAATTCCGAATATACATTGTATATTTTATACTTGATGTTTCAGGCACTGAACCAGGTTGTTATATGGGACAAGATTATAAGGCGTGGGGAGAATTCTATCCTAGACTATAGGAAAGCTAACACCAAATACTACTTCTGGGATTATGGTAATGGGCTCAGGTAAATATATTTCCTATTTTTGTTATTTGTTGTTGTTTTTCAAGAATGCAACAACACTGAATCATGAATAAATAGAAAATTATTCTAGGTGTTATATTTTGGAGTGATAACATTATACTTAAAAGTTGAAATATTACATTTGCTAAATTATAATGTATTAAAGTGAAAACAAATAATTATATTCATAACATTCCATGCCATGATTTTTAAAGAAATATCGAATATCTTATCTGGCTGTCTGATTATAAGTGTAAGGACAGTGGTTATATTGAGGTAACCATTTATGCCTGAAATCTACTAGGGAATTGTTGCCACCATGAAAGCTGGAAAGTCACTGTATTTTGCTGTTTTTCTCATCTTCATAATAACTTGTAATTTAATTGTATAATTTATCAATTATGAGTTACAAAATCTGTCTGTCATTCATTTAGGCATTGTCTCTTATGATTCCCATGTTCTAAATACAGCATTCACCTATTCATTTCAGGTCCAATAAGAATGTGACCTTGACATTGTCATGGAATGTGATACCAAATGCTGGCACCCTGCCAAAGATCCAAGGTCAAGGTCACCATAGATTCCAATTTCCTGAAGAGTACAGCCCCAACAGATTCCAATAAGAAACAGCTTTAGAATAGAAACATTTTAGGATATTATTTTAATTTGAAAGAAAATCAAAATTTGGTGGCGGAATCATGAAGTGTGATTAAACCCTTAACCTGCTAAAATTCTTACATGGACTTATCAAGATTCCATTATGGAACAGTCCATTATCATCTTTAGGGATATGAAAGTTTTATGTTGGTCAGCCAACAGTATAGAGCCTTGTTTGATTGGACGAATGTTCAGACTCACCTGGCTCTGTAATGGTGGCTTATTACTTTAGATTCCAGCAAGGTAAGGGTAAAGATAAGTGAGCTGGCCCAGTTGTACTTCTTTATTTCTAAGACTTGGTAATCAGGTCTTTTTGCAATTTCTTTATGGTGCTTTATGATTTTATACTTTTCTTTGTGGATATTTTCTGTGAGGATAAAAGATTTTGTTGAAAAAAAAAAGAGATTTGTGGATAAAAATAAGAGTTTTTGTAGTTTTTGATACTGATAATGAGATATTCATAAAGAGTTAAGTAGATATGGGAAGTTAAACATTAAACTGTGGCCATTACATGTAACTGACATGTAAAGGATGTTTATTCTGATTCAAAAGAAAATGTGTGTAAGACCGATTTGTATTTTGTTGTTATATTAGTTGAAGACTCAAAGTCAATCAATGTCATCTGCTTCAAGACTACAGAGGCCTCGATTTGTGTGCTCCATATCGTCACCTTAGTGCAATAACTGATTAACTGATTGAATTTAAAAGAACTTATTACGTTACTGCACAAGGGTGACGATATATGGTGTTAATTTAGTCTACCTCTCACAAGCAGGTGTACAATAATTGTTTTATGATCATTTAACATTACATGATGCAATATATCAACGAAATTGAATGAAAACATTTTGAATTATTTATTAAGATGCACACAAGCAGCAAGAGATGTTAGGACCATAAAAACACATTTTTGTAAAGATTTATTACATGATTTGACGAGAAAATTCTAAAGTAACTTTATTTATGACATTGTCATAGTAACCAATCTTTTAACCAATTTGGTGACAGTATTTTTTTATTTATTTAATATATTATTGTGCATGATTATGTGCTGTGTAAAAAATGTTTTATAAAATGCACAACGCATGTAATTTTCTAGCTTTATGTACTTTGTATATGTGATGTTAATAACATTCACAAGAATGTAGATTAAATTTAGATATTTATTTTCTGTCATGTCAATGAAATGATTTAATGCCTGATAAATGACCTACGGGATGCCAACTATTATATTCATTCAAAATTACTCCTCTTAATCTTTTTCATATTTATATAAAGGTGTGAAAATAAAAAAAGTGGCTTTTTTTTTCCAAAAGTATAAAATATATTTTGTACTTTAAAGTGATATTATTTCATGTGTAAAAACGTCTGCTATTACAATAGTTCTAAAATTGTTTCTGTGAATACAAACAAATATTCACCAAGTAAATTTGTTGAATAGACATGAAAAAAAAAGATTAATGTGTAGCAACTTTGGTCTTTGCGGTCTAAAAATAACCGTTTTGTGTTGCACTTATGTATTTTTGCAGAACAAATCATAAATCATGAATAATACAAGTGCTATAGCAAACTTATAATCAGTTAGAGCACAATGATTATTTTACTCAATACACTTATTTGATGTGTAGAATAACAAATTGTCACGTTACTGCTGTAATTGGTTGACTAGGCCCTCCTGAGACATTATTTCTCTGTGGCATCATGTCCTCTTATATATAACTAAACAATGATCTGAATTTTATATCACTCTTCAAATTCTTTGTTAATCCTTAAGGACGTTTTAGGGAAGTTTCATATAGACATATAGGCAAAATTAAAACTGTTCTATAGAATTTCGGAAAATGTCTTTAACAAGCTTAAATAGACTTGTCCAACTTTCAGTTTTGGAATAATCTGTTATTGATTCTGGGTGTAACAAGATAAAAATTGAAGTTGGCGAGTAAACAGTATTGAGCCTGGTCAGACAGCATGGAAGTGCAAGCTAGCCTAGCTCTATACTGTTGGCAAAGGTTACTCATTCTCGGTTCCAGCAGGTGAAAGGTAAAATGATGTGTGCAAAGATTAATTAACATTATTTTTCTACAGCAATGTATGCTAGCGTGTGATAATAAAATAAATTGTTTTTGTGAATGTGAACATTGTATGTGGATGTAAGAATGCAATAAAATGAAAAAACACATATATGATAGTATTCAGCATGTAGTATATAAACTTACTGATATTATTGTTTTCATCAATTCATTAACTGCATTAATTGTAAATATTTACATTTGATGAGAAATATTAGATAATCATTACATACAATTTGTGTGTAGGTAATATTTTATTAAGAATTTGTAATTCTGCTTTCCCTTTTTTATACACCTAAGTAGTGCATATTTAGACAAATAAAAAGATATACATTGTATGGATAATAGTTCCAGTATTATAAAAAATGTAGATGTTGCTATTTCATTTTTTTAGATACCTATATGCTAGACTTATTTCAAGCCATAATTTTGTTCGGACAGATTTAAATAAATGTGTCCAGAGGCAACTAGTCATGTTTTTCAAAGTCTAAGACTGGTACAGTATAATTTAACAGGCCAAAGGATAAAAAATCTTGAATATTGTAGACCAGTCCAAAATTCTAGCATTTGATTGGCTTATTTTGAAACATTATTGAAATTTGCCAATAAGAGTGTTTTATTTTCAGACTGGTGTACAATTTCAAGTTTTATATCGTTGGACTGGACTATAGATTACTGATGATGGTCTTGTGTGATGTGTTGTTAATTTTTGAATAATGTAGACAACCAAATGTATAATCATTTTAGGAAAATAAATTTGTTTATAAAATTTTGTAAATTAATTTGATAATTATTTAGATATCAGATATTTATCTAAAGTGCATGTAGATATTCAATGTAATTTTATTACAATTGTAAGTGCAGCATTTTATACCTCTAATAATATTTGTATGGAATTTTATCCATGATAGATGTGAAGAAGAAAAATATCTGTATGAATGAAAATTATTGTAATGTACTAGTATCTTGTAGTATATGTAGTTGTGCATGTTTGCTGTCTTGTAATTATCACATTTCTTCTTCTCAATTGTTGACCATTTTTGATGCCTTTTTTACAACAATATACATGTAGATTATCTTGTTATCATAGGCTTAATGTGATTTTGTTAATGAAACGAAAAATGCCAGTTCATGAGTTGCAAATGCATTTGATGTTAGTATTTGTAGTGATAAAAGCATGAAAAGTTACAGATCTGCTACAACATAAATATACTATTGTAGTCCGAAAATGTGAATAATTGTGAACTGTTATTAATGAAATGTGGAAGATTTTCATTAAAATTTGAAACATCACATTCATATGATGAAATGTGAAAGGTTTTCATTTAATCATTTATATATAAGGATGATGCATCTCCATTATTTACCATTTGAAGATTAAAAGAAATAGCCATTATTTGTGCTTGTGCAATTTGTTAATAGTGAGTATCGTACAATTTTTTTAGACTAATTGAAAAGTAAAATTTTGGATATGATAATTAGACCACCATAAAAATGTTAAGTTTGCAATAATGTGACCATGTGCGAATTTACTTTCACATGTTTTTACCTAATTTTTGCCATTTTGTTTTAAAAATATTTATTCATTGTAAAAGGCCATGTGACAGCAAACAAGCATTTTTCAAGGATGTCCTTCATGCACTAAGCTCATTGTTTATTTGTTGTTTTTCTTAATGATTGAATGAACTATACTTGTTTGTTATGTGAATTATTTGGTGAATGGATTTACTGGTAATAAATTTTCATATTTATTTTATTACCTAATGACATCTATGTCTATTGTTGTAAAATAAAAAGTAAAAATGTGAATGTTTCTGCTTTTATTATGTAAGAGTCAGGAGAAAGCCTGCCTTTTTGGGGGGTTTTCTTTCTTTGTAGCAACCAAAGTCTTTCTTGTTTACAAAGAGAATTAATGTTAATGTAAACTTAAACGAGTGGTTGTCAAGTGGTTAAGGCAACTGCCTCTCATTTCTTAGAACAGTGGGATCTACACCAGGCATAACCATGTGGACTCATATCCTGTTGGAAAATAGGAAAATATACAATTTTAACAAGCCACTGAAAGGTGTGAGACCTTAGTGTTATGGTGGTGATACAGCGGAACTTGGCAAATGGTGTTTTTCCCATCTAATCATGGGGTTCAAACAACCATTTACAATTATATCTTGGCAGATACATCTTTTATAAGAGCAACCCTTTGATCACTTTATTGTGAAAAGTAATGCACTGTAAAACTGTAACAGTAAGTTTGTCTGTTATCCAAGATTAGATGAAATCAACACAAATTTGCTGAGTTCTGGATAACATCTGTTGAAATAAATTTCAGGATGTCATCATATGCTTGTCCATTTCCATGATGTTACTGTAATCTGAAATTTCTTTTTTTGTTTGGTTTTAAGCCACACCATCACAGTAGAGGTCATATGGTGACTTTCAAGCTTTACTGGCGGAAGAAGACCTCCGTGCAATATTTCAAAACAGGAGCGGGCACCCGAGTAGAACCACCGACATTCCATAAGCAAGTTGGATACCTTTTGTCACACAAAAGAGTCCAAAGTCCTTTGGGATTCAAACCTACAGCTGTGAGGGGCAAGTGGTTTGAAGTCAATGACCTTAACCACTCAGCCACAGAGTCCCTCCATGTCCTTAGTACAATATTATGGACACTAAATTAACCAAAACTTGTCATTTTCTCTCTCAAGCCTTGTGTGTTCAACATTATATACAAAGGCATATATATTGAGATTGCACAGCAGGTAATATGCTTGCATAGAGGATTTAAAAGGGATTTTTGATCACCAGACTAGGAAAACATTTGTTGCACATTTGCCATCAACTTGACGTCGGTCCCCATAACCTTGTCAGATTCCATCAGCCAAGCTGCTCTCCAGAAATTGTAACTCTTACATGAATATCTGTTAGATGGGTTTTCCAGCAGTTTTGGGTAAAAATTTCAGAGTACTTTTCCGCAATTTTACATTTTTTACTAGAAGGCAATGTTATGGTTATTTTTGATGCTGCAAAAAACTGTGTATTGAAATTTTCTTGTAGCGTCTGCAAGATTTATGTTCAAAAGTACTTGTATTATATACATGTATGTACACTGTACATATTAAATAGCAAAATTACAACTTTTCTTCATAAAACAAACTCACGTTTACATGTTTAATTATTTTATTTTTTATTCTTTTTTCATGAAAATAAAATGTCATAGTACAACAAAATGCATATTTCAAATAATAATAATAAAATTCAGATCTGGTAATAATAATAAACAAGATTGCATTTGTAAAAAATGCTATGCCACCGCATAAAAACAACACTAAAATAGTAATGTAGGAACAAATTTTTTTTGTTTTGACCCAAGGGCTTTAATTTGAATAATCTTGCTAAAGTTTCACTACACAATGTTTACTGCGAAATGTCTCACCTCTAGCCTTTGTCAATTCGAGAAGGTGATTTTTTTAAAGTTTTTACTATATACATGTAAAGAAAACCTATGACCCTGGGGCAGGGCTAGTTTTGACACTAGAGGCAAAATTTGAACAACTTTGGTAGAGTATCTATAGATGATATCATATACCAAATATCAAAGCTCTAAGCCTTGTACCTTCAGACAATAAGATATTTTAATTTTTTTACTATATGTACATAGTGAAAATCAATGACCTCCGGGGGTGGGGCCAATTTTGACCCCAGGGCTATAATTTGTTCAATCTTGCTAGAGGTTCACTACACAATGTTTCATGCAAAATATCTAACCTCTAGCCTTTGTCAATTTAGAGAAGATGATTTTTTAAGTTTTTACTATATACATATGAGGAAAACCTATGACCCCCCCCCCCCCCCCCCCCCCCCCCCCCCATGGCAGGGCTAATTTTGACACTAGAGGCAAAATTTGAACAACTTTGGTAGAGTACCTATAGATAATCACACATACCAAATATCAAACCTCTAAGCCTGGTACCTTCAGACAAGAAGGTATTTTAAGTTTTTTACTATATGTACATATAGTGAAAATCAATGACCCCCGGGGCAGGGCAGATTTGGACCCCAGGGCTATAATTTGAACAATCTTGGTAGAGGTCTACCAGACAATGCCTTAAGCAAAATATCTAAGCTCTAGGCCTTTTGGGTCTTTACAAGAAGATTTTTTAAATTTATTCTTATAATTCCTTTTGGTTGTCATGGCAACCAGAATTCTGCATGGAATGAAATTCTTTGAACAACTTTTGGAAGGCCTTCACCCAAGGATCAAATCCTGCCAAGTTTGGTGTTGAAATTGGACTAGTGGTTTTTCACAAGAAGATTTTTTAAGTTCACTATATAATCTATATAACACACACACACACAAACAAACACACACACAGGTGAATCGCTATATGCCACCGCATCGCAGATGCTGCGGTGGCATAAAAACGCATACAAGACGATGATGACAATGTGCGGAACATCAAAAAATCAGATCCTTTAATATAATAAACAAAGACATATCTAACTTTTTTCAAAAATAAGAATGTGCAATAAATTCATTCAACATTTAATCGTCATATTTTGGCAGAACATAGTAACCAAATGATGATTTTTGTTTCTTTCAGATCTACTTGTAATAAGTCTTTCACCTTAGAACCAATTTTCAAATTATTTATCATTTAAAGTTAAAGAAAAAAATATTTATAATTTTATAATAAAATATTTCTTTTTTTATTTAAGTATTATTATGCGACAGATTTGTATAATAAGTAGCTAGCTCAACTTGAAAGTTTTTAAAATCTACAAAATTGG